AGTGTGTGTGTGTGCGTGTCTGTGTGTGAGTGTGTGTGTGTGTGTGTGTGTGAGTGTATGTGTGTGTGTGTCTGTGTGTGTGTGTGCAGGTATGGCTTTCTCTTCGATAAGGCTCTGCTAGTGTGTAAGAAGCGCAGCGGCGAGAGTCTGGAGCTGAAGGAGCTGATTGAGCTTCAGCATTACCAGCTGAGAGACGAGCCGTCAGGAGAGAAGGACAGCAAGAAGGTTCTACACACCTCCTCTGGTCTCACAGAGCTTCATCATTATCATCATCATCATAACACACCTGTACCTGATGCTTGTGTGTATTTACAGTGGACGCACACCTTCCTGCTGATGGATCTGTACGGTCAGGGCGGCTACGATCTCTTCTTTAAGACGCGAGAGCTGAAGAAGAAGTGGCTGGAGCAGTTTGAGATGGCGCTGTGAGTCCACCGCTCATATGTTCCTCAAAACTTCAGCTCAGATACAGCTCTAATATGCTGCTCTTATGGTAGTATAATATAACATACATGTTCGTAGGTCCAACATGTGTCCGGAGAACAGCACGGCTAACGGTCATGACTTTCAGATGCACTGTTTTGAGGACACCACCTCGTGTAAAGCCTGTCAGATGCTCCTCAGGTGAACTTTAAATCAGTCGTTTCACGCCAGTGTTCACGAGTGAATGAGCTGCTGTTTTCTGCTCAACAAACACCAGAATGCTGCTGCAGTTAGTTATAGCAGCTTAAAATTTGTTGAGATAACTTAAATATCCAATTTAACTAAAGTTAACTAAACATATCATTTTAATATATTTTTTTTAAAGTTGAAACAACACGTTTTTACTTATTCTAAAGCTGAATTTAACGTTGTGAGAAATAATCGCAGCATTTATTTTTATAGTGTATTATGTTGGATCTTGTATTGCTAAATGTTGCTTTCTGACACGGGAAAGTCGCAGAAATGTGTTTTATTTTAGTATTATCGATATGCTATTGAGTATTTATGATTATTTTTAATTATTTTTGATTTTCAGTTTTCGTTTTCATTTTTTGCTTAATATTTTTATTTATTTGTATTTCAGTTTTAGTATATTAGTATTTTAACTTACTTTAGGACTTGAACACCACTGAGTCGCAGCTCGGGTTTCAGTAAATGCTTACTTTTTTAGTTGAAACAATGCATTTTTACTTATTCTAATGTTGAATTTTAAGTTGTGATAACTAATCACAGCAATCATTTATACAGTTTATTATGTTGGTTCTTGTATCTAATATACATTTAGCTTTCTGAAATGGAAAAGTATCACATGTGACTTTTAGCAGTTTTATTAGTTTTTAATTAATGTTTATTTTTATATTTTCAGTGTTCATTTGAGTTTTAGTTTACATTTTTAATTTTGTTATTTTTATACATTTTTGCTTAATAATTCTCTTTCATTTTTTATTTATTTTAGTTTTACTCATTTAGTTATTTACTTTAACTTATTACTTTAGGACTTAAACTTACTTATTTTCATTTAGGGAAACATTTCTAAGTTTTTCATCTAATGTTTTATTTCAGCTCATGAAAATAGCTGAGAGTGTTTGTTGATAATAACAACACTGGCTCGTTTTCAGTTAATGCTCTTTTTAGTCCGGGAGGAAGTTCTGAGCTGTGAAAGTTGCTGAATCGTTTCATTTCGAGTTTCATCAAACTCATCAAACTCAGAGAATGAAGACTAATGTAGATGTGTCAGGATGAGACTCCTGTAAGATATAAAGGAGTGTAAATCTGCTGCTGTAGCTGGAGATGTGAGACTTATTTGCTGATGTGTGTGTCTGTGTGTGCGTGTGTGTGTGTGTGTGTGTGTGTTTCAGGGCAGGAATCTGACCATCGGAAAGGTCGGCTGGTTTCCCTGCAGTAAAGTTCAGCCATTTGTGCCGGTGAGTGGATCAATAAAATTTAGATCCAATAACTGATATTGAGTCATTATATCCGATACTGTTTATTTATTTATTCTTTGATTTCCCACAATTTTTAATCTTTATTTTATTTCCCTCTTTTTTTATCTTGCATTTTTTTTTATTTCCTACATTTTTACTTCCTGCATTTCTTTTCTAGTTTTTAATCTTTATGTATTACTATTTTTATTTTCTAATTTTTTTACTCTTTATTTTTCCCTGCAATTTGTATGTATATTTTAATGTTTATTTTTATGTAATACAATTTTTACTTTCTACATTTTTTTTATTTACTTCACTCTATAATTTTTAATCTTTTAAGTCGTACAATTTTTATTTTCTTCAATTTTTAATCTATTTTTTCCTGCAGTTCTTATTTCCTGTAATTTTTTATATTTATATATTTCTGACAATATTTCCTAGTTTATTGTATAATCATAATACTGTACAGTTACAGTGGGGTCTACTTTTTCATTTTAAATTAGATTATCAGTATAACAGTTTGAGTGAAATTGTAATGAAAAATGAGCATGAGTTTAATAAAGTCTTGTTATTTGGTTCATGCTTTACGGAGAGCAGCACTCAATTAATGAAAGAAATAGAGCACAATCTGAAATCCTAAATGTTTTCGTTTGTTTCCAGGCTCAGATTAAATTTGATGTAATCATTTTTACATTTCGGCGTACAATAATAATAAAAATCTGCATGATGACTGCTAGTATCTACTGCTAGTTAAGTAAATGTGTTGTCTGCTCTCTGTAGGCGCCTCCTCCAGATTTAACAGGACTGCCCTGGTAACACACACACACACACACACACGCACACATTTTATCTATATTCACTCTTGTTCATTAAAGCATGCATGTACAGGCAGTAACACACCCCTCTGGTGTCAGGTTCGCTGGTAACATGGACCGGGCCGGTGCTAAAACTCTGCTGATGTCTCGCTCTGACGGGACATTTCTGGTGCGGCAGAAAGACGCTGGAGAATTCGCCATCAGCCTCAAGTACTGTGAACACACTCAAACACGCTGACTGACAGCTGTCAATCAAACAGCACCAGTGACACGCCTCTCTGTCTCTGTCTCAGGTTCAGCATGGACACCAGACACATAAAGGTCACGTACT